GTGGGGTGTGGGTGTGGGGTGTGGGTGGGTGTGGGTATGTGGGTGTGGGGGTGTGGGGTGTGAGTGTGGGTGTGGGTGTTGGTGTGGGTGTGGGTGTGGATGTAAGTGTGAGTGTGAGTGTGGGTGTGGGTGTGGGTGTGGGTGTGGTGTGGGTGTGGGTGTGGATGTAAGTGTGAGTGTGGGTGTGGGTGTGGGTGTGGGTGTGGGTGTGGGTGTGGGTGCGGGTGTGGTGTGGTGTGGGTGTGGGTGTGTGGATGTAACTGTGGGTGTGAGTGTGGGTGCGGGTGCGGGTGTGGGTGTGGGTGTCGGTGGGTGTGGGTTTGAGCGAGTGCGTGCGAATGTTGTCGGATGGAAGATCCACACCCCACACCCACCTACACCCACATCCCACACGCACACCCACACTCCACACCCACACCCCACATCAACCCATACCCACACTCACATCCACACCCTCAATTTTTCCTCAATACCTGAGAACGATTTCCGTTTCGAAAAATTCAGTTCTGTGAAAATGCAAAATAAAATTATGAAAAATAATCAGATTTTACTGCTGATTTATAAATTAATAAAATGAGATTCAGATTGGTTGGGACATTTGGTCGGTATCTGACACACTTTTTGTATACAAAGCAAACGATCTGCTGTCTATTGACCGATGAAACTAGCCATTTATCAGCTGACGGTCGTCACGATTGATAGAAACAAACACAAATGGTTCACATTCTTCGTAATATTGATAATTGATTGATATCGCATTTCAATATAGGTAAACGGCTTCTTCAAAAGGTATTGAATTGTTAACCATGATGTCTTCACAAGTCGCATAACCGTTGATTTTCCTGTAGATCGCACCAAACAATCAAAGTCCATCTATTAGCTTAAATATGGGCATCGAAAACGAAACAGTTATATTGGTTTTCTTATGAATTCCCATGCACCTAATATATGTCGTAAATTCCAAACGATTTCATCAGGCTTCCAAAGAATTCAAGATGCTTACAAATAGTGGGATACGCTTCAAAAGACTTCATAAAAAGTCACAGGACTTCATGAAACTTCATGAGATGTCAGCAGACTTGAAAAACTTCGAGACCTTATAAAATCTTACGGTATCCCATCGAAGTTCCTAAGATTGCAGCAGACTTCAGAAGACTGAAAGGCCTCAAAGGAACCTCACAGGATTGCATGAAACTTCATGGAACCTTAGTAGATCTCACACCACTGCGGTAGACCTTCCAAAACCTTATAGAACCCTGTAAACCTAATCAGACCATAGTAGACATAAGCGCACTGTAAGAGATCTCACAACGCTTCACAGGACTCTATGGAAGTTATTGACAGCTTGATTGACCTAAACACACCGCAAGAGAAGTGATAAAATTCTACAGGTTCCAAAACGTCATGAGCCCTTCGTAAACCTCTGAATACGTCAAGACACCTAAAAAATCTTGACGGAGCCTATGAAACTTTATTAAAGCCTAGTACATCTGAAAACACAACAAGAAACCTCACAGGACCCCAAGAAACTTGATGAAATACTAGTAGACTTCAAAACAGTGCCAGAGATCTTATAAAACTCCATAGGATCACTTGAAGTTTTGTGAGACCTCAGAATGCCTTCGGAGGTTTTCAAAAACTTCACAGAAGGGTGTGAGTGGGTGTGGGTGTGAGTGTGGGTGTGGGTGGGTGTGGGGTGTGGGTGTGGATGTGGGTGTGAGTGGGTGTGGAGTGTGGAGTGTGGGTGTGGGTGGGTGTGGGGTGTGGATCTCCCATCCGACAACATTCACATTCACTCGCTCAAACCCACACCCACCCACACCCACACCCACACCCACACCCACACACCCACACCCATACCCAACACTCGAAGAAACCTCACAAAACCTCAGGGGCCCCGTCATACTTCATGAGAGCCTGGTAAACATCGGAATATTGCGCAAGGCCCGGGAAAACGTCACAAGGCCCCATGAAACTTTATAAGGGGAAAGTAGACTTAAGCTGATCAAGAGACCTCACAAAACCTCACAGAACCTCAAGAAACTTCATAAGACCTTTTTAGACCCCAAAACAGTGCAACCGATCTCAGAAAATCTCAAGAAACTTCAGGAGACTTTCGTAGACCTCGAAATACTTCGAGATTGTGCATAAATCCTGACACGGCTCGATGAAGCCTCATAACACTGCCGTATACTGGAGAATATTACAAGAAAACTGTTGAAACTATCTAGAACTTCTTGAAATAAGGAGAGGCTGCAATAGCCTACAGAACATGTCGAGAGACTCCATAAAACCTAGCAGAATCCCTTGAAACCTCATGATAATTTAGTAAATTCCTGAAGACCTGTGAAGACTACATCAAACCTCAAAGGGCTCTATGAAACTTCATCAGACTTTAGTACACTGCAGAACATTCCAGTGAACTCAAGAAGACCTCGCAAGACCTCATAAACCGTCACAGAACTTCGTGAAACTTCATGAAACTGTAGCAGACTGCATAACACCTCGTCAGACCTTGCAAAACTTCACAGGACGTCATGAAACTTGATGAGACTGTAGTAGATCTGAGAAGACTTCGAGAGTTTTCATTGAGTTTCGCAGGACTTCATCAAGTTTCATGTGACTGTAGTAGACTACAGAAGTCTAAGAGATATGAAAAGACGTCATAGGGCTTCATGAAACTGCAGTAAACTCTAGTAGACTTCAGAACAACAAGAGCCCTCATAACACGTAGTACGACTTGATGAAGCTTGATGACGCTCCGAGACACTTCAGAGGACTGCACAAGACTTCTGAGTCTTCATGAAACTTCACAACCGAAGTCTCTGTTGTACCTTCTTTCGGGGCTACCATTAAAACTGCGGCGTGGAACAGGACCCCAGCTGAAACGGAGAGGGAAACACTCGTGCAGAACGAGATCTACAGTCATACCCGTCCCCAGTTTCAACGCTGGCTAGAAGCCTATGTGAAACCGGGTGTTGAACGAAGAAGACGATCGTGCAAAGGATCAAAAATTGCTTCCCTCACATATCTCTCAAACGATGTTTGAGTTACGTACCATGGCCTATTAAACGTTGGTATTCATTTGAAATTGCGACGGTGGGAAAAAATAAATGATATTACGATATAACACTTCTTTCCAACCATACGATTGACTATTAATTGATGTTTATCAATCCTATTCAAATTGACAGGCGATAACAAATTTATTCGGTTTGAGAGGTGATAACAAACTTATTCGATTTGACAGAAATGAACAAGGTTGCTCGGATTGACAAGAGATAACAAGCAAAACGACGGTGATGTGTTTATCGTACAAATTTATGATTTAATTAAATATTCATGGCAATTAATTAACTTTCAAATATGCGTTTGAAGGCCAAATTGATTTCACCAGCTATATATACGAACGATATAAAGCTTCACTCTCACTCATAGAACATCCATACGTCAAAATCATATTGGTATCGTGCACACACCAAACTTGGTATTAATACAACGAGCAAAGGTATGTTTTTATAAGATCACTAGTGCTTCACAAGTCTTATGCGATTAGAAGTGTAGATTTATATTTACTTTCAATTTAATTTATATGTTAAGTAAATTATCATAAAATTAAATTCAAAATAAGCTGAAATTCGTTTTTTTTCGTGCTTTAAATTTAAAAATAAATTCAAGATATCGACAACTTAATTACTTTGCATTTGAGTTATTTTC